TGAAGTACAAGTAGAAAACAGCACAGGGGAGGATTTTTCCACTGTTGGAAGTTTGCTCGTGGCTTTCATTGGCTGGGAGAATTTGTCAAGGCTTTTCGCCTGTCCATTCAGCTTTGTCAGGAGTTTCATTTTCAGTGCTACAAAGCACATGTTTTTTGTATCAAATCTTTCCCATTTACAACTGCCCCAACAATCAGGCTTTAGTCAAACATCAAAGATACAATAAGTTTCTGAGGGGGGTAGTGCCTGTGAACTGGCAGACTGGGGGAGTGGCTCCCATTTTTAAAAAAGTGGACTGGAGAGTTTGCTCCAATTATCATGGTAAAGCCCATGCCAGGGTGTTGGGACAAGGCTCCGACCAATTGTCAAACCTTGGACAAAAAAAATCAAAACAATCCAAGCGAATAGTCTGATGCCTTGACTTTTCTTATTGTACTCCTCTGGTGCTAAAATCTACACTAAAGTTGTTTTGGTCTGCAGGTTTAAGTGTAGGAAAATATAAGGCTGGTGATAATCTTTAGTGTTCTCACTGTCAGCATATTCATGTAAAATACCAAAACCAACTATGAGTCGCTTCTACTAGCAGTCTGTCCACATGCAACAGTTTTTGTAATAATCTGTAAATAGTTAAACTGCAAATAGATGTCAAGGTGCCCTGGTAAAAATGCAGCTGCTTGCAAGTAGCCAGTTACAGTACACCGAATCCAGTGTAACTTTGTTTATTTTTTTAGACAATCAGCTGTAAAGCTAACTTGTACACAGACCACCACGGACAGACCACGATTCACAGAAATTGATTCCCTGAGCACCTACAATCCTCTCGGCAATAGTCTCTCTGAGTGGGAAAATCTTTGGCACAGCGGCAGGTGGCAGTGTTAGCAGTGCCATGGTTTTTCCTTTATTGTTGTTCTTTTCAGAGAACATAACAACTGATGCAGCTGATACTGAGTTCTCTAGCAGAGGGACTCTGGATTGACTGTACTGGTTCAAGAACAAGAAAACAGCTGTCTTTCTCATTAGCCCTGCTCTGGTCTGTTTAACCCTGTGTCTCTTTACACACACACACACACGCTGTGTAAAGGAAAGCCAATCACCTGCTTCCTGTAGCCTCTTGTGAACATGGTACACAGCTGTTTCCTGTCATACAGTTCAGGGTTAGCTGTGTATCATGAAACTTGGGTGAGAAACCTTGTATCATTTTAATTAGGGGAATATAAATATGTAATTTTTAGAAAGACTTTATGACCATATATATTTCAATCCATATCCATATCTATATCTATATAGATGTAGTTCATACCCCAAAATTACAAAACCAAGTAGAGTAACCACCCAGCATGCAACACTAATAGATAATATATTTACTAATGATATTGATAGCAAAATGTCTAGTGGATTACTTATAAATGATATTAGTGATCATTTACCTGTATTTTTGGTTTATGACTGCCATGTTAGAAATGAAAGTCCAAAAACAAATCTTTTTTATAGGAGGGTGATGAACGAACATGCTGTAAGGAGGCTAAAAGAGGACTTTATGGGGCAAGACTTGGAATCAGAGGAAGACTTAGACAAAGCATATGAGCAATTTTTAAATATATTCATGAAAGTATATGACAGGAACTGTCCTCGTAAGCAGTATAAAAACAAAAGGAATTACAGTGGGAAACCGTGGATGAGTAAGGGATTACAGAATGCATGTAAAAAAAAGAATGTGTTATATAAGGAATTCATAAAGTACAGATCAAAGAAGGCGGAAGAAAAATATAAGTCATATAAGAACAAATTAATTGCGATATTGAGGAGATGTAAGAAACAATATTACGCTAAAGTATTAGAGGATAATATAAATAACATGAGAGGTACTTGGAATA